GTTTGATAGAAATAAATTCATAATTTCAAATCTAGTCTCTGTATTCTGCCTGTTATTTCTATTCTTATTACGCTACCTATTACGTAATTTATGTGAAACACATGTGTTGGGGATGTTAGATCTCCAGAACTCGCTTGATAAATGCCTTAATTTTGGATTTCACGTTTGCGAGTATGGGCTGATCAGTTGACTTTGTGATTTCATTTCCCACCCGGAGAATCCTCGGCTGTGATTGGCTGCTGCGTACTTTAGTGTGCTATTTCTGTGACTGTCCCAATTGTGTTTCTATGATGTATAAATAAACGAGATTTGTGTGCTTGGATGCACTGTGCTTGCTTGGTGTTTGTAGAATATACGAAGACTTCTCTTTAGCCTTTTCGGATCAAGGTAGCCTACCTGGGCGCTGGTTCGTTGTCTCGTTCTAGTTTATCGACTAAGGTGAACCCGTAATAGTTTCAAACATAACTAGTAACGAACCTAACAACATGAAACACTTTTTGATTACACTATGATAACTTTATTTAGTGACGATAAACTTCTGTGTGTGTGTGGGCAAAGTAACTGTAGATACAAATGTACATCTTTAGATGATGATACTATCCAAAACAAAATTCACCTTGTTAAATTGTCTTTATTTTCATTACGGGGTTGGGAAAACTGTTAAGTCACACTCCTGCATCTCACAGGACTCGAACCCAGGACCTTCGGCCCTGCACGCAAATGCATCACCTCTGGACCACTGAGCCAGCATCTAACGCTATTCATTTCTAACTTCAATCAATTCGTGGATGCTCACTGTCACTGATGAGTCCCATACTTAGGACGAAACAGCCGTCCAGTGCTTTCCAGGTTTCTAATGATGGTCTAACTTTTGATCGATTCATGATTTCAAATATCTTTATTTTGCTGCTTTAAGACTCAACATATTTCTTTCATTTTCTTCTCATACTCTTATTATTATTATTATTATTATTATTATTATTATTATTATTATTATTTGAGTTCAGCTGTGACAGATGTATGCGCATAAAAACCGTCGATCAAATTGTTCAATAAATAAATATTCGCAATTTTTTTTTAAATTAATTATTTCTTTATATATAAATTTTTATTTTAAAAAAATTTTTTAAATCATTCAATCTAATTATAATTAAAACAATGAAAGTATTCGATAAATTGACTTGTATTATTATTAAGTCCAATTCAATTTTATTTCTAAGGTAACCCAACCCTACTAGTCATTTATTTATTTAATATTTAACTATCACTATTCTAACAAAACAAACATAACGCTACATTTATTATTATTCAATGTACAATAATGCCTTTAAATTGTGTTTGTTGGTATACATACAACATGTATAAAAGCATACATTGGAGATGTTTATCTATGCTGTTTGTGTACGTACGTGTATGAATGTTACAGTATTATTATTATCTTTGTTTGATGATCATAGTTTATCTGTACTGTGTTGGATATGATTGTATATATATATGGATTCGCTTCTAGAGTTCCTCATTCTTACTCACTGATTCATTCAATCTCAAAATTTGATTACTTGTTGTGTTTTTTTTGTTTAGTTTCATCTTCCAGTTGATTACTTATTTATCTTTTCGTACGAGTCAATCAAATTTGTGTCTCTCTCAGTGTGTGTGTGTGTATCTGCGTGCGTGTGTGTCAGTTAGTCAGTATTTGTATTGAGTATTGTCTGTGCATACTGTTGTGAACACGAGAATCCAATTGTATTCAACGAAAATTACAGAGTTACTCAGTAAAATTGGAAAACCATATCGTAAATTGTTGATTTGCAAAATATCAGTTCATCATATCAAACTGGACTGTCTGTTCCTGTTGCAAAACGTCAATCCATTGTCACTACTATTCATGCGCTTCATACAAATTCCATTGTGTTCTAACTCTTCCTTTCTTGTTGATCTTCCCCCATCTTCTGCTGCCAGACATTACGTTGACACTCACGTCATATACTACTTATAAGTAGCTCGCACCACAATACTACTAAATTAGTTTGTTTTTTTCGCAAGAAATGACATTTACATTTTATTTATCATTTTTGAAACATACAATTTTGAATGAAAGGCAAGAAAGTGATTGGGGATAAGAAGAAACAATGAGAAGAAAAAACATCTCAAGAAAAAAAATCGAACAAGATATTTATTTTTCCAGGAATTTCATAATGACACATTTCTGAAACCATGAATCGATCAATGTTAGTTAGACCACACCATTAGAAACCTGGAAGCACTGAAATACGGCTGTTTCGTCCTGGTATGGAACTCATCAGCAGTGGCAGTGCGCATCCGCGACTCCTGCACCTCGCAGGATTCGAACAAAGGACCTTCGGTATTGTGCGCGAACGCCTAACCATTGGACCACTGGGCCGTTAAAGTCTAACTTGATCATTTATAATTGTTATTATTGTTATTATTGAATAGTATTCATGTGATTATTCTCGTTTTTTTGAGTCATGTCGTTATCAATCTTACTGTACACTTTAAGTAGACAGTTATAATGATAATAGAATTTTAACTAGTCACTAAGTAATGTGTGTACAATTATGCTACTTTGTAAATAATCTACAAGTTGGATCATTAGTGTGTCGATCATAGTCATTTATTGATGCGAGGCAGTTACAAATCAATAACAATGGAATATGATTGTTGGATGTGGCTAATGTGATAACCACTTGATGACAACTCAGTGGTCCAAAAATCAAGCCATTGTGGACTGTGAGTTTAATCCTTATTAATTGAATCATAAATGAGTACGGTTAAGAACTCCCATATGAAGAAGACAAAATAACTGTTTAGTGCTTTCTGATTTCCAATGGTTGTCTCCCATAGAGTCAGTCCATTATTGAAATCATAGAAAAAGTGTTCAATAGTATGTTAGTCCTTAAAAAAATCTACTTATCGAATAACATTGAATCGTAAAAAGAAGTTGATACTCTCTGTTGATGCAGTCCATTTTCATTGCTGAGAAACACCCAGCAGTAACCACTGTCTGTAGTTTCGTTACTCAAAGAGAAAGAGTAGGAATTATACGGGAATTCATTAAGAGGCTAGTTCTAGACTAATAAAGTCTATACAATAAAATGTTGATTTATATTTTCAAATATTCATGGAATGATTATACAAATATAAAGTACTAGTCGAAGCCGTTTTTTTTCTCAACAAATTTCTAATAAAATCATCTCAATCAGTTATCATATTGCAACTGCATTCATAGAATTCAATTAATAATAAAGATTATACGACATGATATTGGTTGTGCCTTAGAAACCGATGAAAGTAAATATATCTATACCACAAGTTTATCGTAACCTGATTACTCAGTGGTAACATTAGACAGTGGTGTGTGATAAAATCTCACTTTGAGGAATCAAACATATTTTATTGAAGGATGTCAGACAACATGAAGTTCACAGTTCTAGGACTTTCTTCCAGGTATAATTTTTGTTTAAAACAAAAAGTAGCTGTATATCATTAAATTGTTTTTGGGATTTCTCCAAATTTCACTAAAAGGAATACTGAGAGACTTGTGAAAGTCTTGAGAAAAATAGTTCTAGAGACTTAACCAATCAAACAAGTAAGACATATCAATATTGTAGTTTCTGGGTCCTTCTGGAAATGATTTTTTGCTTAAATCGCCAATTTATGTGCTTGAAACTATTACGAGTTCATCTTAGTCGATAAACGCGAACGAGACAATGACCCAGTAGTGACATGATAGGCTACTCTTATCCACCCACCGAACTAACTGAAGAAAAAGTCTTGATGTGGCGTAGAAAGTGTATTCTACATGCACCCAGTAAATACAATGATCTCAAGCACACAAATCGCGTTTATTTATACATCATAGAAACGTCCTTGGGATAATTACTAAAATAACACATCAACCAATCACAGCCAAGGATTTTCCTGGTAGGAAATGTGATCACAAGATCAACTGATCAGCCCATGAATAATATCCAAAATTAAGGCCTTTATCAAGCGAGTTCTGAGGATCTACCGTCCTCAGCACGAGAGTTAGTGTAATTGCTTCTTGTCTGAAGATAAACGTTGTGTCAACCATTGTTGTTATGCTTCATGAATCATACAAAACTTTAGATTAGCGGTTGACTGATCACTTCGTAGTAACCAGCATCATGTATGTTAATTCGTTGAAAATGTTAATCTAATTCTAGTTTGATTGACTCAGTATCGTGTGTACTATGTCGAAGATGTAAGATGATGGTTGGCATGAGTTGACAGAAAACCCTAGGGTACCGGTAATCTTGAAGTAACTGATGTTTCTTAGCGCATTCGATTTCTTTTTGCCCAGCTTCACAGTCAGAAATCACATCTGTTGATTAACTCCAAACATCGCCTTATACAATATTTTAACATCAGTCTTGAATATGTTGGAGAAATCCAAAATATCCGTTTATCAAGACTCGGAAACACCAGGAATGGTTTCCTCTTCAATGAGTTCTGAATAGAACATTTGCTGAAACATCTTGGAAATGCAGAAACACATGCCACGGTTGCGATCGGATATTTAGTCATACCTCTGTCATATTTAGTATGGTTCTCGAACCTTTGAGAAGACTAAGGACATAAGTAACCTTATAAATACTCTCAATTTTCTGTACATAAACTAACCTTGGAGCAAAGCCTTTTTTCTCATGCTTCATATTTATAAACAGACTTATCAGAATGTAAACTCTTTTTTATGAAGTGCTTGAATGAGCACACATATAATTAAGAACGTGATGTTGCATAACATTTTCAAAGTCAAAAGTACTGAACAATATTTAAAGAGATTTCTTTCGAAAAATAATGGATATCCAAAAATATCAAATTTTACCTAATACTTCACACAACCACAGTTCAATACCGAATACACCACAGTAAAAATGTCATTAACAATGTCTTAGTGAGAAAAATATTTAAAGTTTTAAGGATAGAAGAAGAAGAAGAGTATTTTCATGAAATTCGGTAAAAATGACTAAAAAATTATCATAATTACTAACAAAACAAACAAATTTTATTGTTTCTTGTAGTGGTGTGATGCGAACTACTTATAAGTAGTATATGACGTGAGTGAAAACGTAATGTCTGACAGCAGAAGATAGGGGAAGATCAAGAAAGGAAGAGTGGAAACACAATGGAATTTGTATGAAACGCATGAATAGTGACAATGGATTGATGTTTTGCAACAGGAACAGTCCAGTTCCATAGGATGAACTGATATTTTACAAATGAACGATTTACGATATGGTGTTCCGATGTTACTGAATAACTCTGTAATTTTCATTAAATGCAATTCGGTTGCCCCACCTGTGTTCTCGTTCACTACAGTGGAACTGAGGACCGCGTTAATAAGAACGTAGTCTGGGTACTTTGTTGATATTCTGTCATCATTGTAAGATCCATACTGATGTTTGGACGGAGGAATAACTGTCTAGGTAGGTTAGATACGCGCCTTGCCAAATCGAAATCAAAACAAGGCGATTGGGTAAATGACGTTTCTAATATTCGTCATAAATATAAATATACACATCATTAACCTAAACAAATATTACCACTCAGTTATTCCACCAACAATTGTTCAATTATTCAAATAAACGATATTCTGTCCCTCCTGGATAGATGAGATTTGTTCGACAGATAATATTTGGTTGCTTTATAACACAGAGTGTTTCCTATTCCGGAAGAGTGCTTCAATTTTACAATCAAAATGCACAATTCCAGTCATTAGTACAAGCGATTCAATCAAAAAAGGAACAACTCAATATGGCTGTCACCATGACAAAGTATCAACTTAAACAACATAAATGCAGCTCAGAAAGAAACATAGAAACTCAGTGAAGACAGAAGAAATAGAAACTATAGTAAAATACAAATATTATCATCTCAAAATGGAATCGAACAGACTCAACAAAATGTACAACTGAAGGAATCTCAGTAAGGACAAATTACAAATGTATACATGGCGGGATTTTCACAAACAAAGCCTTCAAAAAATAGATCTTACCTCCTCGAAATCATGAAATTCATTGAAAGTGACCAAGAAATGATCATAATTACCCAAAAAAAGACAAACATACAAACAACTTTTATTGTTTCTTCTAGTTTGGAACTGAGGACAATTTTTAAGCAACAATCTAGTCTGGATATTTTGTTGACTGACAACATTCAATCATCATGGCTAATATTTTTTTTTCGCCAAAAAACATGAATAGTCAATCTATCTGGATGTTAAACATATAAATAGGAATAGATCGGATCCCAGTATGTGGTAAAACCCAATCATTCAATCGATAATTCGCATTATCCCTTTCAAAATAACTCCCCAATCAATCATCAGGTTATTTTTTTTACTCTTAGCCGCTCCCCTAAGTAATGTACAAACTATCAGTAACTGACCTGATCAAGGTTAAATAAATGACTGATTAAAATCAGCAGATCAACTTGTTTTCTGTTAGTATTCGGGTTTTCATTCCTTCCATACACACACACACACGCACACATGTACACATACACACACACACACCATGTTAACATGTGTTCACCCTGTGACTACCATGTATTTCCTCTGTACCAGCCCATTCATTCATTCACTTATTCATTACATAAGCCATTCATTCAATTTTTAGATTTCTCTTGATTTCATTGACTTGTCGTTTTTAACTAGCCCCTCCTCTCTTTGTTTTATTATTACTCGTATTTTCTTTTAATGAAATAACAACGACAACAAGGAGACTGATTGTAATCTTTCGCCTTACCGGATACTTTTTTTTTTTATTTCTTTTTAACCAGATGTTAATAGTCTGACTTGAAATTATTATTAAAAAAAATTGATTGAAATTGATACATTTTTATTTATTTAACGAGTAATCATCATCATCATCATCACCGTCATCGTCATCATCATAATCACATTTAAAAAAAAAAACAGACCATTGAATTCAACTCATACATTCGAATGTTTTTTATGCCTTTAAATAAAAAAAAAACACAAACATCATGGATGGATGTTTAAAAAAAAATGGTGTGTGTGTGTGTGTGCATTTGTCATGATTATTGCTCAATCAATATTTAGAAGAGAGAGAGAATTCGATAAGACTGTTTTTTGGGAGGGGTTTCAATGAAATAAAAGTGAATTTTTTTTAAAAAAATAGCCAGTTAGTTTAGATTATTTAGATGGCTAATCATTGATAAAGTCAATTGAAAATGAATTGGAGATGAGAAGAAAAGGGAGGAAAAAAGAAGGCGAAATCAATGGACAAGGAGAAAAATGGAATAGACAATGTTAATTTTTTTAAAAATAATTTTTGTGTTTACCCGAAAGAAATGGGTTCTAGTTTATGATTATTATTATTATTATTATTATTATTATTATTATTATTACTGATAATAATTACACTGTTTTATGCATACTTACCTACTGATATTTATTTTATTATCGTTAACTTTGTCATTAACACAAAATGTCATAAAAAAAATTAATTTTTTTTCTTAAAAATAAAATAAAATAAAATAATACAAGTCTTTATGTAACAATTGGATTGAATTTTGAATTAAAATGCCCTTGAAAAGTTTGCTATGTTTGCCCAGGAAAAAAGAAAGTTCATTTATTGAATATAAACAAAGAGAATGTACTCCCAATGGAGCACAGGCCGCCCACCAGTTTTCTCCAGCCAAATCTGTCTTGGGCTTCTCTTTTCAGTTTTGTCCAATGTTTGTTCATTCTTCTCATATCTTTCTCTATTCATTGGCGTAATGTGTTCCTTGGCCTTCCTCTCTTCATTTTCACCTTGAGGGTTCCATGTGAGGGCTTGTCTTGTGACGTAGTTCGGTGCATTTCGTATTGTGTGTCCTACCCACTTCCACCGCTTCTTCCTGATTTCCTCCTCCACTGGAATCTGGTTTGTTCTCTCCTACAGTAAGTTGTTGCTGATAGTGTCTGGCCAACGATTCCGAAGTATTTTGCGTAGAAAATTGTTAATAAACACTTGTATCCTCTGGATGATGGCTTTCGTGGTTCTCCAAGTTTCTGCTCCGCACAGTAGAACTGTCTTGACATTTGTATTGAAAATCGTGACTTTGGTGTTTGTTTATAGTTGTGTTTTGAGTTCCAGATATTTTTCAACTGTAGAAATGCACTCCTCACTTTGCCGATCCGCGCCCTCACATCTGCATCAGACTCACCTTGGTTGTCGATGATGTTGCCAAGATATGTAAAAGAGTTAACGTCCTCCAAGGCATCTCGATATATATATATATATATATATATATATATATATATATTACAATTCGTTAATCAATGTATTAATTATCTCAACATTTATCTTTCTCTTCATAAATTAACAAGAAAAAGCTTTAAAACTAATCTGCGGTTTTATTTTCGATCTATGATCAGTCAATTAGTTACTACCCTCATCAGCGTAAGAATTGGCGCATATGTAGATCGAAGAATTTTTTAAAATAATTTCTATATCAGAGTTGGTTGGATGAATAGCAGAACATGCTATTTTTTTTAGAAAGAATCAATGAAACATAAATATCTTTACATTTCTAAGCAGCAGCATCGACAACCAACGTGGGTCCGATGCTGATGTGAGGGCGCGGATCGACAAAGCAAGGGCTGCATTTTTACAATTGAATAACATCTGCAACTTAAAACACAACCGTCAACAGACACAAGTCACGATTTTCAATACAAATGTCAAGACAGCTCTACTGTTTGTGTGGTGGAAACTTGGATAACTACGAAAGTCATCATGCAGAAGATACAAGTATTTATGAACAGTTGTCTACGCCAAATACTGCCGATATGTTGGCCAGACACTATCAGCGACAACCTACAATCGGAAAGAACAAACCAGATCGCAGTGGATAGGACATCAATTGAGGAAAGCATCCAGCTCCGTCACAAAACAAGCCCTCACATGGAAACCTCAAAGTCAGAAGAAAAGAGGAAGGCCGACGAATACATTACACCGAGAAATGGAGAAGGACATGAGAAGAATGAATGAAAAGTGGATAGGACTGGAAAGGGAGACCCAGGACACATTAGGTTGGAGAATATTGGTCGGTGGCCTATGCTCCATTGGGGGTAACAGGCTTATTTGATCTCTCTCTCACTCTCTCTTACAAAGAAACCATGAAATAAGACAATGAAATGTATGAAATATTACATAGGTTTAATTTCGACACTAAACTTATCCTTAAAATATTCTATTTCACCTCGTTGTTGATATGTAAGATCTTATTTCGACTTGTCTGTGGCGGTATTGTGTATATATATAGGATTTTCGTTACAACTGTTTGGATATATTTAGTTATTGACTAGCAGTGAAATTCATGACAATCGATTTGTTTTGCTTGAAACTCATCATTCTAGTGTTCACACTGGGACTCTGAACTAGAGATTATCAACCCAAATACCAAAAAGTTATCCATTAAACCACTAAGTTCCTCAGTAGTCGCAGGACATTTAGTACAACCTATAACCAAAGGGTTTCATCAAAACAATACACTTAGCATTTACAAACAATGAATGATCAAAATTCTATTTTGAATATCTCAATGATAAGGTAAGTAAACTGTTTACAAATAAAACCATCAACGATTGAACGACTAACATGATGGCGTTTAGGCCATTAATTACTCAACTCCAGTCTCAGTAAAATATTAATTCATCAAAACTGAACTTATATAACTGAATAGCCCCATATTTATATCTTTTAATGTTGGACAAGTAATTATGCATTGCGTAATCACTAATGTCATACAACCAGTTAACAGTAAAGTGTTTATCGTCATACTTGAACGGCCTATGCTTATTTCAATGATAGGAAAATTTCTAAGTATGTAATGCGAACGAATCACGAAATTGCCTGATTTTCAAAGATTTTTATGATTCAAGACGGAAAACTATTTGCATTACGGGGTTGTGAAAATTGTTGTTAAGTTACACATTTTTTGAAATCATGAATCGATCAATGTTAGACCACCATTAGAAACCTCGAAGCACTGAAAGATGGCCGTTTCATCCTGGTATGGGACTCCTCAACAGTGTGCAACTCCGTGAATTGATCAAGTTAGACATTAACACCGTTAGATACCGGCTCAGTGGTCCGATGGTTAGGTGTTCGCCTACAATAACGAAGGTCCTGGGTTGGAAAACTATTTGTATGCCTTAATTTTCGACTCGTTTGGTTATATGAAAATACTTATGTTTTCATATTGTATTCATTTTTTGAGACAGGATGTTTGACAATCTAAGATAAATGATCATTACCTTCAGTTCGTTTCTCTGAACAGATTTGTGATTCAATTAGCTGGTCATAGGTCATGAAATTAACTCAGTTGAATGCTTTATCTCCTCATGTGAAGTACCTTTGAACAATATGTTGCGGATCCACGACCTCGCAACCGAAAATCGAACTTAGGACTTCCTGTGTAAATGCCTAACCTACAGATCACTTAGGCCTGACCGAATGGTGTATAAATCTAGCTTCACTCAGTTCATAATAGTGCATGAACATCTTTCATTGTCTTCGCTTGGTAGCAGTTTCCTGATATCCGACACTGTTTGTCCCACTGACAATGATTTCTCACTACAATTACGAAAAATATACTCTTAAAGCTTATCTCTAGTAAATAAAAGATAATTATCAGTATATAGTTCTATAAATGATTGAATTTCACTCAAATTACAAATCAATCAAAGTTGAACAATTTTACTATACATTGTAGCCTTAAATTCTGTTTATAAGGTTTCTTGATAGAATACAAAGTTGCAAACAACGACAGGTCAAAAGTCAACAGCAACCAATCAAGATTGAGGTTAGTAGAACAAGCTACAGGTCAATAACGTGGCGAAATTCTAATGCTTCACTTCTTCTATCTGAAGTTTGTGCTGATGATGATGTTGTTCAGTAGAAGAACAATGAAAGCTCCACAACCAAAACAATCAGCCAGTTCAGAGAACGAAACACCACCACATTTAGACACACATTTAGATAAACTTGAGAATAGCAGCTACTTGATGTTAAACTTGGTAATCTCTTTCATATGTCAAGTGACCTATTATCTAAAAGATAAGCTAATCAGAAGAAATCATTCACTCAGTGATAAGCTATATAGAAACTGGAATATATATACGGCTAAAGTTACCATACTAAGCTTGAGAGAAATAATTTTCAAGCTTAAGATTTAAAGAAAGAAAGCACAATAATAAATGGGTCTCTATCACAGGGAATTGATTCAGAGCAAATATCACTGTGGTAGTGGTGGTGTTTGGCAGCATCATCGACGACCAAGGTGGATCCGACGCAGATGTGAGGGCACGGATCGGCAAAGCAAGGGCTGCATTTCTACAGTTGAAAAATATCTGGAACTCCAAACAACTTTCAACCAAAACCAAAATCAGGATTTTCAATACAAATGTGAAGACAGTTCTACTATATGGGGCGGAAACATGGAGAACTACCAAAGCCATCATCCAGAAGATACAAGTGTTTATTAACAACTGTCTACGCAATATTCGTTGGCCAGACACGATCAGCAACATCGAACTGTGGGAGAGAACAAACCAGATTCCAGTGGAGGCGGAAATCAGGAAGAAGCGGTGGAAGTGGATAGGACACACACTACGAAATGCACCGAAAAGCATCACCAGACAAGCGCTCACATGAAACCCTCAAGGTCAAAGGAAAAGATTAAGTCGAAGGAACACACTTCGCTGAGAAACAGAGAAAGACATGAGAGGAATGAACAAACATTGGTCAAAACTGGAGAGAGAAGCCCAAGACAGAGTTGTTTGGAGAAAACTGGTGGGCGGTCTATGCTCCATTGGGGGTAACAGACGTAAGTAAGTAAGTAAGTAAGTGGTGGTGTTTGGTTTGGTTCTCTGAGTTGAATGTTTTGGTTGTGGAGCTTTCATTGAATGTTTTCAATCATCCACTTGAACGACAAATCTTCTCCACTATCTCTAATATTAATTGTCTTTTCTTGACAAATCACATGAAATGTATGCCTTATTTTCCCCGAATTTTTATGCGTTTCTAAATTCAACGGCATTTATGTATGGCTTTATTTTGCGTTTATGTTCATAATTTGAAATAGTGAACAAAAACCTATTCATACTAATGTTTTCTTATCCATATATGTATAGTCAGTAAAAAAAAGTGTCTAGTCATGAATGTATGCATATACTAATCTGTTTTTTTAATGTATCTGTAGGAAAGGAATAAATGAATACAGAAATAAGTAAGAGATGATAAACATTACAATCGGATTTCTATCCCTTTAATCAAATACGGATTGGTTAATGTATTTAGGTAGAGATAGATGTAGATGAAAAAAAACAGCGAAAACTAAAAATAGGGAAAATCATAAAGTAAGGGATTTAGAAAAAAACAAACAAACATGGTAAAAGAACAAAAGTTCTGAATGTCAGCTAGTCAAGTTGAAGTGAAATGATTTTG